CCAAATGTGCATCTGGATAGTTAAAAATGCCTTTCAAAAGCTAAGCATAGTATTAAGAAACAGAAAATCTTATTAGAAACAAAGAAAAGAGTAGTTAACTGTTATGTAATATCAACCCTTCTATATGGCAGTGAATGCTGAACAATCTTCTCATAAATGAAGACTTGAAGCAACAGAAATGTGGTTCTACAAACAGATGCGGTGAATACCATGGACTGAACATCTCAGCAATGAAAAAGTTTCAGAGAAAATGGAAACAAAAAGGATGCTTATTCTTAATGTCAGAAAGGGAAAGATGAGGAAAGAGGGCTCGGAAAATTTAATACTCTCATTGTAGACAGGAGAGACAGAGGAAAAGTGCATAGCCTGCCCGATGAGCTTATATAAATGGATGGCAGAACAAGGATCAGAAGAAATTAAAAAAAGGTAAAATTTACTAAGAGCTTCAAAAGACAGGAAATTGGAGAGTAACAACATCCTGAAGAGACAAAGGACATCCACAAATTTTTGAGTAGAAACTCTGTTATAAAAGCATTAAAATTAGACATTTAAAATAGGAAAACTGAGTTTTATAAAAATTGGAAATGATTTGTCATTCTCAAATCCATAACACAAAAAAAAAAAAAAAATAATTGCATAGGAAATACAGAATATAGTCAGTCTTTTGTGAACTCATTGACTAAGTACAACAGAATGACAAGGCAAATAGCAAATATTTATTTGCTTATGGTTCTTAACTGCTATATGACAGTTTAAGCAAATCAAAATTTGCAAAGTGCAAAATATGTAGTAATTTGTTCACTTTTACACAAAGTTTCATTCAATTTGTTTACCAACTGAATGATGCATTATTCCCGGTGTTCTTCAAGAGTTCAATGAATTCAAGCAGATTGATCAATTTGTTCCGTCATCAAATTACACAGCATTTCCTGTGACTCATTCAATATTTCTTATATATGGTCAACATCATCTATGAAACAAAAAGATCTGGTATTTATTTTTTTATCTTTATCAGAGGGTATCCACTACATTTAAAACACTTTGAGCTTTTGAATATAACATCATTATATAATCGCTGAGTGGTTAGAGAATTTACATTCCAATCCTGAGACCTAGGTTTGAATTTCACATTTTTCTGGGAGGTGATGACTTCTTGATAATATCTTCCTAGGAAGATGATTTTGGTGTGGTGTACAGCTCTATTGAGAAGTGTCTTAAAACTATACTACAGGTTGACCCAAGGCTTCTGAGTTAAATTGCTTACAATATTACCATTCCAGACATTAGATAAGATGATAACTTGATAATATCCGCCTAAAAAGATGATCCCAGTGTACAGCTCCATGGGAAAGCGGATGAAAACTACACCATGGTTTGACCTAAGCCTTGTTAGTGAAAATGAGTAAACAAAACTGTTTGGAAGCTGTTGATGGTCTGTGCTAGCATGAAGTTACAATTAATTAATAACTATTTGTGCTCAGTTGTTGACATTAATAGATGTCTGTTGATGTGTTAAAATTTTGGAATAATGCAATAATAAAAATTTAAATTTCATCTCTCTGATAGATGTCGCGATCTGTAAACACAGACACAAACATCATAGCAATTGATATTTTTTATAATGTTAAAGATTGTACAGAATCACAACAAAGAATTATCTTTCTCTGCACCCCCCCACTTTCATTCATATCAGCTCTCCCCCACACACTATCCAGCACTACAACATCCTTCTCCTAAAAGGATTATCTAAAGCTCCAAGTATCGATTCTAATATCTGCAGAAACATGTTTGTTTCTATGCCCACAAAGATACCACAACAATAACTTCAATAGAGATGAGATGATAGAAGACTCTGGCTCCAATAAGGGAAAGAAAAAGTCATAAGCAGTATCCAGCAATCCATCTCTCTAACAATTTTTTTTTTTCATTATTAAAACAGCCAATGGACCATTTTAATGTCATTAGCAACCAAATTTCCTGAGATGATTACAAAGGTTGGCAGATAGTGATACCACCTCAAAGCTGATTTTACCTAACAAGGAAGACAGAAATATGCTTGAACATGTCTTTGGTAGTACCAGTTGCATGTGTGACAGCATTTAGTGACAGTATTTAGTGACAGTATTTAGTGACAGTATTCATTAGTTATGAGTACTAAATCTGATTTATGTACAAAGTATCAGTGCTATAATTATTGGCACTAGGTAACTATTCACCAACCAAAATTATTGGGGCTAGAAGACTGTGCACTAATCAAAATTCACAATTGTATGAAAGAGAGAATAATCCACCTACAGAATAGGGCCTGAAGGTAGAACTTTAAAAAAAAAAAATGGCTGCCATGCTGTCAACTAATGGTACAAATCCTCTGTACAACTGTCATTTGACACTATCAAACTTTAGATTGTTCCTGAATTCGGAAGGGGTATTGAAAGGTCAAAACTTTTCATTCAATACTGAAATTGAAGTTATATGAAATGAATCAAAAATAAACCAGAAACTTCCTTAATAGACAGTATTAAAAAAAAAAAAAAGAATGTTTCTAAAAAATGGTGATTATACTGGTAAATACACTTCTATCTTTGAAGAGAAATAAATTTACTTTTTTGATACAAATGCATTATTCTCTCTGGTCAGATACTTGTTTGGAAAACCTCAATCAAATCTAGTATGTCAGCATTTGCTTGATATTAAAAAATCTACCTTTATATTTTGTTTCTAAATATACAGGGTGTGATGGAGAAATTATCATATAAATAATGTAAAAATGAAAATAACACTGATCTCATTTTAACAGATATATTTACCAAAATTACACAAAAATATCTTGAAATACTAAAGAGTAAATTTATTCAATAAAATTGTCATTGGCTTCACCCCACTGCCTTCAGATGATTTTGGAAACTCCTGCAACTCTTCTGGACATTCTTCTTGTTTAAGTTGATTAATGATGCCATAATCCTTGCCTTCAGTTCATCTTTAGTGTTACAAGGAGTTCTGTTTGTCTCTCACTCAACTGTACCCCACACATAATAATCAAGAGGGTTGTAGTCTGAGGAGTTAGGTGGCCAGATGTAAGGGGGTGATGTGGTCACAGAAATTGTCTGACTGCCATGGGTCTTCCAGAAGCCACTCTCTTGACCTAGGGCAGCATTACTACCTCAAGGCACTTGTTCTAAGCCTCTGTGTTGAGTCTGAGGCCTCACCAACAAATTTGGGAATTCTTTTCTTATCAGAATGATCATAATGATTTTTCCAAGTTGCTGTACCTTCATAATCCCCATTAGACTCATCCAACTCTTTCTGAATCCTCTGCACTGTCTTCAGATTGACACCCAAACAGACTAAAATTTTTGTATTGGCATTTTCGGTGTGAATTGCGTCATGGTGCTCTTTTTCTCACAGATGGTTCCCAACCGACCTTACTATACTGTGTAGTCGACAAAATTTAAAATAAACAATATGCATGCATAAAATTAAAAATATAAAATGGCGACAATTTACCCATCGCACCCTGTACTTATTCTGACCATCTGATATCTTTATAGTTCTGTCAAGAGTTAACAGAAAAAAAATGTACAAATTATCAATATTTCAGCTTTTCACTCATGACAATATTTTTTTTTTTAAATTAATTAAATGCATGTCTACAAATGGTAGTGGTGTTCATATCAATTAATATTTATAGAGTAAAAAAGGTTTCATATAATTTTCATCTTTTATTCATGTAAAAATACAGGTATGTATTTTGTACCATTTTGATTGGGTAAACAAAACATGATGTGATTAGGGGTTAAAAATGAATGTTAAAAATAGAAGGCAAAAAAAAGAAGCAAATTTTATTAAAAAACTGAACACACACTCACCTCCTCCTTTTACTTCTACGTGGTTCACAGAAAGGAAGCTCTTATAGACTGCATTGAATTAGCACAGAAATCTTGGTTCAAATTCAAATGTCTTTAAGGATAGTATATCCAAAATTTACCAGAGGCCATCTGTCAAAGAATAAAATAAATTTGTTTTTTTACTTTGTAGTGTAAATGGCAAAATGATTAAGAAACAGAATTGACAAAGTTCTCAATAAACAATAAGAAAAAGGAAAAAAAAGAACAATGTAGCACAAATGAGCAAACAATATATATGCAAGTCAAAACTAGGCAAAAAAGTGGCAATAATGCAAAAAGTTCTCACACCAAAGTAATACAGTCAAATGATTGTAGCATTCTGACTTCAAGACAAGATAGAAAAAAAAAAAAAAAAAAAATGTCCGAGATCAAGACTTATTCTAATTTTATTGGTTAGGAAGAAATCCCAGTATGCATTGGTAGGATTTGTCTATGAACTTGAGGAGGGGATGTTTTTAACAGTCATTCTCAATATATTGAAACAGCAGCTATTTTATTCTTACAGACAGATCTTAAACATTAAAAGATAGGTAATCATACAAAGAGCTAAAAAGAAAAATATGAGTGTTCACTTGCTCTCATAATAAATATAATAAGTGCTTTAAATACGTGTATGTTATGTTATAAATGTATATAGTTAAATAAGAAAACAAACAAAACAAAGTATTGCTGGTGAGACAGAAAGAAAAGAAAAGAAGACTTGTTAAGATAAAATACTTTGTATAGCCAATAAATAGGATCAAGGCAGAAAGTCTTTGTGGACAAGGGATGTGACTTGGAGGATGGGGAGAGTTGATAAGGCCTGAAGTTGGTGTTTATGAAGAGTCGGTTGACCGAGGTCATCGGTGATGATGGCGAAAGCATGCATGTTTTTTTGTTATGCTTTTGCTGCAAGGTTCTTGATTGTCTCTTTTTTACAACCTTTAATTTCTCTTTTGTAAGCTGACCCATTCCCTTTAACAGAATTAAAATTCATTTATATGCACAGTGATATACATATACAATTATGGGAAAATGATACAAATGTATCACACCCAATGCATTAGTTGCTCATTTTGCAGTCTGATCATAAATTTGATTTGGAAAAGTTTTTATTCAATAAATAAAGCAAAAATGGTAAAAAAAAAAAAAAAGAGAGAATAAAGCAAAAATGGAAAAAAAAAAAAAAGAGAATAAAGCAAAAATGGAAAAAAAAAAGAGAGAATAAAGCAAAAATGGAAAAAAAAAAAAAGAGAATAAAGCAAAAATGGAAAAAAAAAAAAGAGAGAATAAAGCAAAAATGGAAAAAAAAAAAGAGAATAAAGCAAAATGGAAAAAAAAACAGAGAATAAAGCAAAAATGGAAAAAAGAAAAAAAAAAAAAAAGAGAATAAAGCAAAAATGGAAAAAAAACAGAAAAAAGCAAAAATGGAAAAAACAGAGAATAAAGCAAAAAATGGAAAAAAAAACAGAGAATAAAGCAAAAAAATGGAAAAAAAAAAAAAAGCAAAAATGGAAAAAACAGAGAATAAAGCAAAAATGGAAAAAACAGAGAATAAAGCAAAAATGGAAAAAACAGAGAATAAAGCAAAAATGGAAAAAACAGAGAATAAAGCAAAAATGGAAAAAACAGAGAATAAAGCAAAAATGGAAAAAACAGAGAATAAAGCAAAAATGGAAAAAAAGAGAATAAAAAAAATGGAAAAAACAGAGAATAAAGCAAAAATGGAAAAAACAGAGAATAAAGCAAAAATGGAAAAAAACAGAGAATAAAGCAAAAAATGGAAAAAAAAAAGAGAATAAAGCAAAAATGGAAAAAAAAAGAGAATAAAGCAAAAATGGAAAAAAAGAGAATAAAGCAAAAAAAAAAGAGAAAAATGCAAAAAAAAAAAACAGAGAATAAAGCAAAAAATGGAAAAAAAGAGAATAAAGCAAAAATGGAAAAAACAGAGAATAAAGCAAAAATGGAAAAAAACAGAGAATAAAGCAAAAATGGAAAAAACAGAGAATAAAGCAAAAATGGAAAAACAGAGAATAAAGCAAAATGGAAAAACAGAGAATAAAGCAAAATGGAAAAAACAGAGAATAAAGCAAAAATGGAAAAAAAGAGAATAAAGCAAAAATGGAAAAAACAGAGAATAAAGCAAAAATGGAAAAAAAAAGAGAGAATAATGCAAAAATGAAAAAAAAAACCCAAAAAAAAGAGAGAGAATAAAGCAAAAATGGAAAAAGAATAAAGAACAACACAAAGAAAATATGGGGAGAGAGAGAGAGAGAAATATGAAAAAGAAAGAATGGTCATTTGAGCCAGACACCATCAATATAAAATATTCAAAAACAAAACAAATATCTAAATACAATGTGACATCTACAAAGATGTCAAAATTTTGCAATTGCTAATAAAAGGGAAATAAAATGATATAGATCAAGGCAAGAAAGGTGTTCAAAAGAAAAAGTAAAGACTTTAGAACACAAAGCATCCTTAAAGAACCTTCAACAGAAGCAATTGGCTCAAATGCCTATAGGCAAAATGTTTATTCATCTTGACTTATTGAAGTTTCTAAAGAGGAATGAATAGAATAGAAGAAATGTATTCTTGTGAATGTCTCTATAGCACTGGAACTCCAGGCTTGTCACTTTGTATATTTCATAACTATAAAATATTAATAGCTATCAGGTTAAACACAAATTAATCAATATTCAAATGTTTCTTTAAAAGAAAAGGAACTGTTTTGACAGATACAGCTTGTAACTGATAGTTCAAAATCTTTTTTTTTTTTTTGGTAGAGACAAAGAAGACTGTCTGAATTTATGAGGAGTTATCATTATTACATTATTTGCAGTCAGACTAATATCCTCATCTTTGTTGTTATCATGCTTCAGCTATTGTGTCCTCGTGCCTTCTTACAGTATTCTGAAGATCATGGGGCAATAGCCTGGTGGATTAAAGCTTTGATTTGTGAATTTGGTAAGAGAGTCACTGAGTTCAATACCTGAGCCAAGTAGTAGTCATAGACAGAAAACAGGGTGGGCAAAGACTGAACAAGAGGAGATATTTCCAGACATGATAGCAGAATAAAAAGATTTACTCCCATGGATTAAATAAAGGGTTCAGTTTGAAATTCCCTGTAGGTTACCTTGATTGACAAGCCACTGAAGAAGGTCAAAGTGCATAACAACTGAAACATTGTGATAATAACAAAGATGAGGATATTAATATATATTAATGTAAATAAGACAATTGAGTAATTTGGGGTTTTTTTGCAGTTTATTAACCATTTGTGGGTTATTTAAAAGATGAAACATATTTTAGATTGTACAAATCTTTTTTTTCTGCAAATGAATATTGCATTAACAATTTTTGTAAGAATAACAATGACTTTTCCAGATACAAGTCCTACTATTTAGCCCATAGTTGAGGGTGGAGATGGACTCATACCTTTCTCAAGGGTATTAGCAAATACATGAATGTAACAAACTTGACGGGAATTTGAACTCAGCTTTCCAATTTTTAATTCTGAGTCACTATCAATTATACCACCCACACACCCCATAAGATAAAAAAAAAAAAAATCTGGAATTATGCAATTATTCGACTAATTGGTTATGATTCAGTTTTGTAAGATTTTTATATGACTTATAAATAACCTTTGCAATATCTTCTAAAAAGATACAAATATTGTTAATAGTGTATAGTATAAACACTAGTCCATATTGATCCATAGAGAATTATGGAGATATATATATATATATATATATATATATATATATATATATATATGTGTGTGTGTATGTATGTATGTATATGTGTGTGATATGTATAGCACTGGTGTGTGAATTATTTATACAAAAGTAAATAGACAAAATATTCAAATTCTATGAAGATAATTGCAAAAGGCCATTAGAAAAAGATGGCAAGATAATTGAGCCTAATAATGTTTTTCTTAAATTTCAATAAGGTTTTAAAAAGGTACAAAAGTCATTTTGTCAGAGACTGCTTTGAAATACCTTGCAGCAAATAATACACAATAGCTAACATAGTGGATTTATGACACCTGTTGAAGCTAAAAATAACTTTTTCTAAATATAATTTGAATTGTTGAGCAAAAAAAAAAAGTGTAAGAGGATGAAATAAAATACCATTAAATTTTATTTTTTTATTATTATATAGCTAAATAATTCAATTATATTATTACATAAGAAAAACTTATACCAATTTTTAAAACTTTTCTTCTCTTGCTTCAACAAAGTTCTTGACATTTTAAGACACCAAGGTAGCGTTCTACACTTGCATCATTTCATTGCAATCTGTTAACCATGAGCTATTTCAGTAACCAATGATATTAAATTTATACTATTTATGTTGTTCAGACTATTGTCCTAATCTTCATTGTCATATTCACAACATCCCGGCCATTGTACACAGATCTTCTTCAGGTGATATACATTGGAATTTCAAACCAGGCCCTTTATTTCATCCACCAGGGTAGATTGTTGCAGTTCCATGTGCTAAGGACATATGGCTCAGTGGAAAAAAGCGTTGGTTGAAGTAATCTAGTGACTCATCTCTTTTTGTTAAAGAGTTGTGAGTTCAATGCCTGGCCACAGAAGAAGTGGATAAAAACTTGGAGAGTTGAGTTACTAAAGGGAAATAAGTGAAACTGAGATATCCAGAAAAGGCATGGCATGTGGAACTAGAACAATTTACCACAATGGATGAAATAATGGGTTTGGTTCAAAATTCCAACATATAAGAAAGCCAAAGCATACAACGGTTGAAATATTGTCAGTATGGCTATAAAGATGAGGACAACAGTCTGAATAATGTAAATAATTACAATACCTAATCTCAGAAATATAGGCAGATATGAAAAAAAAAGAAAAAAAAAAGAAGACTTTTATTTCTTAAAATGATTTCAAATATTGTGACAGAAAATTTTGGTGCTAGAGAGGGAAAACTATTACAGTTGTATTTTAATCACAATGTATTGGGTTGTTTTACTCCTTACAGTGCCACTTCTTGCTAAATCAGAATATACATATTTCTCTACTTGATACCAGGATTGAACTCTTAATCATTAGGTGATTGTAATGCTTTATTTTTACCATTTTAAACATTATTTTTAGTGGATGCCCATATTTGAGGAAATGCTTCATTTATTTTAAAATGTATTTTAGTTTGTCTATCAGCCTGAATATTCAAGAAATTTTATTAAAGAAAAATGCCCCCTTCACATTTTTCTTTATTAAGATTTCTTAAAAATTCAAGCCGATAGACAAAATAAAATACTGTTTAAAATAAACGGAGCATCTACTAAAATACATATTTTTATTTTATTTCCATTTAAAATAACATTTTAAAGTGATAAAAATAAGTTGGAATAGATAAAAATGAAACACTTTATTATAATTTTATGCCTGAACCCAAAAGACAAAAAGAGATTTCTTTATCTTTCACCTTGATCTACTCTGCCATCTGTTGATCAGCCTGGAAACTAAACAAAATGGTGAACCAAAATATAAATTGCTGTGTACCAAGATGTATAAAGATAGGAATGTAATAATAAAAATGACCCACCTTGCAAATACTTCAAAAGTGACATGAAATTTACCCCACAATACTTCAAAGAGTTAAGAACAGTAATATTTTTTTAAATTACTTCGATAAATCTTTGTTAATTTTTCGATTTTCATTTTAATTGCTATTTTAACTATAAACACTGCCATACTATAGTTATTAGTAAACAGAAGAGATTAGAAATAAAGAATAGCTCGCCAGCCAGGTTGAAACTCATCTCTTTTTGCTAAGGATCAAAAATGACTGAAATAGATAAAAACAAATACTAGTCAAAAATTAACTGAAAATGTTCCATCTTGAAATTTAAAAACAGTAATATTACTACTAATACTACTAGTGCATGTAAATAAAAAATAGTGATGTACCAGGCAGTTGGGGAAGGTAAAGAATGGCTATATGGTTAGATGTTAATGAATGCAGTTGGTAGGTTCTCTGGCCTAATTGATAAGGGATGGAAGCTTATTCTTATTTCTGCTTTGATAAAAAACAACTGAAATTAAGATGAAAGAAATTACAAGTTCAAAAATGAATAAGAATGAAATAACTATCAAAATAATCTTTTTGAAAGTTCATAATCAGAAAGGTCATAATTTCTTAGCTTAGATATAGAGGGTGAATCAAAAGTAATGAATGATTTCAGTTTTGACAGCTGCCAGTTGATTGCTTGCCATTTGTGGTACAGTGTACAAGAGGGCACAAATCAAAGATGTCTATTGGACCATTTATTTGAGGGGGAAAATTACTTAGGAATTTTATCCAATCTTGATTCCAATTTTACTAGGGAATGACTGCAAAATACTTCTCGCTTCCCCTTTTATAAGCAGAAGTACACAAATACATGCTGGGATTTTTTCCTAGCCAATAAAATAGGCTGGTTCATGGTTTCATCTGACTCAATCCCTGATCTGTTTTGCCTTGAAGTCAGAATACTATGTTCACTTGTACAAACTTTCTTTTGTGTATCTATGCCAATTCTTAGTTTGTAAACTCTTTGCCATATTACTGTTGCTTTGTTTTATTATTGTTCATTTGTCTTGCATATATTGTTTGCTTGCTTTATATTAATTTTTCTCTGTTCCTTTCTTTTTCTTGTTGCTGCAAACTTAGTCAATTCTGTTATTTATTTTGCATCTGACAATGGTTACTCCCTCCACAAGCCGTTTTACTTGCTATGTTCAATGTGCCCTCTCTCATGATCAATGCACAATTGCAGCCGGGCAGGCAGAGACCAACATACACACGTGCAGATCTCAATATCAATCTCCTCAAACTTTGCATTGATTTAAGCCTTCAAATTTTAAATGATATGAGTCTTCTCACAATAAACAAGGTCTTTCATGAGAACTCAAAAAGAAAAAAAAAAGAAATTTGGAGGTGAGGTCTGAGGAGTGTGTCAGCCACTCAATCAAACTGTGGCATATAATCTACTTTCCAGGAAAGATTTCATCTAGACATTGATGAAAAAACAAAAAGAATTAAATAAGAAAATTAATTATCTGCAAGATAAATATTAACATTGAATATAGATGTTACCTTTGACTCATCCGGTATATGACAGCGTCATAACATAAATTATCTCTCTGTCAATACTTAAACCCACTGAAACTGTAGTAGCAACTTACTAATACAATACTCCTTTGACTAATCACCCAAAATAATTATACAAACTCTAAAACTGAATAACATTGTACTATTCATTGCTGATGTCTTCTATTACACAGTTC